CCCGGGGGGGCTGCAGCACGAGACGCAGGAGCTGGCCTCCAAGCGGGTGGACATCCAGAACAAGCGCTTCTACCTGGACGTGAAGCAGAACGCCAAGGGCCGCTTCCTGAAGATTGCCGAGGTGGGCGCGGGCGGCAACAAGAGCCGCCTCACCCTCTCCATGTCAGTGGCCGTGGAGTTCCGCGACTACCTGGGCGACTTCATCGAACACTACGCGCAGCTGGGCCCCAGCCAGCCGCCCGACCTGGCCCAGGCACAGGACGAGCCGCGCCGGGCGCTTAAGAGCGAGTTCCTGGTGCGCGAGAACCGCAAGTACTACATGGATCTCAAGGAGAACCAGCGCGGCCGCTTCCTGCGCATCCGCCAGACGGTCAACCGGGGCCCCGGCCTGGGCTCCACGCAGGGCCAGACCATTGCGCTGCCCGCACAGGGGCTCATCGAGTTCCGCGACGCTCTGGCCAAGCTCATTGACGACTACGGAGTGGAGGAGGAGCCGGCCGAGCTGCCCGAGGGCACCTCCTTGACTGTGGACAACAAGCGCTTCTTCTTCGATGTGGGCTCCAACAAGTACGGCGTGTTTATGCGAGTGAGCGAGGTGAAGCCCACCTACCGCAACTCCATCACCGTGCCCTACAAGGTGTGGGCCAAGTTCGGACACACCTTCTGCAAGTACTCGGAAGAGATGAAGAAGATTCAAGAGAAGCAGAGGGAGAAGCGAGCTGCCTGTGAGCAACTCCACCAGCAGCAGCAGCAGCAGCAGGAGGAGACCGCCGCTACCACCCTGCTGCTGCAGGGTGAGGAAGAAGGGGAAGAAGATTGATCAAACTGAATGAAAATAAACCCCCCACACATGCATACACACACACATACACACACACACAGCCACACACAGAGAAAATATACTGTAAAGAGAGAGAGAAAATAAAAAGTTAAAAAGTTAAAAAAAAAATAACTGTTAACTCCAAGGGAGCACCACCCACAGAACCTCCACCAACTGACAGTTTCTCTTCTTGACTTGCCACCCATCGCTGGATGTTGTCCACTTTATCCACCATATAAAACAGTAAGCAGCTGCTAAAAACAAAAAACAAAAAAAAATACAAAAAGTAATAACATTATATGAACTGTGTTTCCTACTTGATTAAAAAATATAAAGAACTGAGTGTTTATTTCCCTAATTAACCAAGAACTTTTGTACACGTTTAAGCTATTATTATTAAAAGTGTTTGCAAAATGGTCAAGATTATAATATTGCTGAATTATATAAAAGTCCTTTTCATGTTGAGCTAACATTTGACTTTAGCACAAAAAAGAGATATTTTAGAACACGTAAAATAATATTTTTAGTTTTTCTCATTTTGTTACCAAATTTCAGACCTTACATGGAGGTTATAGTATATTTGACACCCTATATACCTGTGATTAGAGATGTGTATATATATTTGAGGGCTAGGCATGCTGTGTGTCTGAGCTTTGTCTAAATGTTATGCAGAAGTTTGTAGAGTTAAAGGTACGTAGGTTTAATTCATGCAAGGTAAACAATAAGTGCTCTCTTTTATACAATATGCATTGCATCTGGACCTTAAACATATAAAAATGGTCAGTGAAACTTCTGTGAACATGAAGAAATTATTAAAAAAGGCATTTAAATGAAATTTGCTAAGTTGTGATTTTTACGGTTGGAACCAAAGTTATTCAAGTAGTAAAAGGAAAAGGAGAAAGAAAGAAAAGGAAATCTCCCATAATATTTTTCTGCATCTGTTTGCTTTGACTGAGTAGGCGTTTTTGTCATTATTGTGTATATGAGATGTACTTGTATCGTTCATAATATATTTTTTTTATTATGTGTAGAAAGATTTTTAAAATATAACTAACGTGCAGCAATTTCCAGTGAACCTGTACTTGGACATCAGGTAGTGAGTCTTTGTGGTCACTAGCACTGTCTCCTAAACTTGTAAGAGGTCTGAAGCTATCCTTTGATTTTCGCCAGTGCTTTTAACTTAAGTAGACCTGTTAAAAAGCAGAGCAACACAATTATAGTTATCCTACTGAGCCATGGATTCTGAGTTTCATTTTAGAAGTGAAAGCCAAGTTGGTGTATGTAAAGGATTTCCATGTAGCTGTGGTGCTAGTTATTACTGGCTACATTATATGCTAAGTGTATTTGTGTTCCCTAAGTGTACAAGCCTATCAAAAAAGTATGTTCTATAACTCATATAATCAAGGTTGTAGGGGATGAAAATGCAAGGCTTAGGAGAGCACTTTACCATACTGGTGTCCTCCAAACTGAAATTGTTTGTAACGATAGTCTTACAGGTTTTCATTTAAAGATGTTCGTGTGCTTTTAATTGACAACTAACTTCTTGCTGCTGTATAGTAAAATATTAATATATTTTTATCATTAAACTGCTGCATGACTATCATCTTTGAGTGAAGAGAAAATGTTATAAAAAAAAGATGCCTTAAACAGTACATTTTGATTTGGAATTCTGTAGAAAGTATTTTGGTTTAAAAAAAAAAAAAGATATTGTCTGATAGAGTTCTGGGGATGGAATTGTTTCTTGGCATATCCAGCCATTTAGACCTAACTGCTGTATGTAGAAGACACCACCTGTAGGAGCTGGAAGGTATTGGTGCTTCTCACATTTTAAAGCATTGGCCTAGGAAGGTGAAACAGTTGTCCTTTTGAAGGATTCTTTTTTTTTTTTTCTTTTTGTTCTGGTTCTTTGGGTTTTGATTTGATACTTTTAAACTCCCTGGTTGAGTGTGTTGTCTTTGTTTTTGAGATCTACTGTATGTGTTGAATAACAAGCTATTTCCATTGTACTGTGCATTTTCCCATTGAATTGTTTGCTTTTAATATTCATGCAATGTTGAATAAGAGGTGACCGTACAATAGTTAGGAGTTTCTTTACTTACAAAATCACTGGAAATTATTAAATTGCTTTCCCCTCCCCCCAAGGTGCATTTTTCTTATTTCCGTATAGTAAAGTTGAGCTTTTACAGTGCATAATGTGACATTTGGAATGCTTATCAACTGCATGTAAACATTAATAACCTGCACTTTTTTGTCTTAAGGTTTGTTGAGCTGTTTTGTTCACTGTACTTTAACTGTGATATGGAAAAGACTGCATTCTCTGTGTTGTTACTAGTTAGGAAAGAGAATTGCTTTGATTTTGTCTCTTGTTTACTATAGCTTCTTAAAGTTAAGCCTTGTACTACAGGTTGTTGGAGTACTCCTAGATCAGTGTTTCGTAGTAGCCAGCAATAAGTAGTGCAAGTCAACAAAAACACAGCAAACTTAGGCAAAGTGTCCTTTCTTTGAGATGCGAGTTCTTTCATGAGGTTTTCTTTAGGGTCAGAGTTACCTAAAGTGAAGCCTTGCTTACCTATAGACTTCAGATTCTGCTTGGAATCCTACCGGATTAAGAAGCACATGTATTGTGCAATTGTCTTTACACTATAACAGTTAAACACAATCTTACTAAGATTTTGAAACCAGTGTCTGATTTACGGTCAGTGGATCTAAAAAGAAATCCACATGCAAATCTTTCAAGACTTAGAGGTGATTATAGAAAAGACTAAGTGACTGTAAAGATGCTCTTTTTTGCATCTCACTTTATCTCCCCATATACCTACCCAACCTTCCCTTCACCCCTCTCCTGTTTCATCCTTTCCCCACCCTTTCTCCCAGGTGCTCGGTACTTTACCAAGGTTCTATATATCAGTGTTTTATGTTGGAGTTTTTCCTTGTTTTTATTTCACTAGTTGGTATGCCCTGTTTGTGTTGAAACAAAAAAGGAAATGGTATATTTGACCATATGTGTTATTCATAGAAGACAGTATGATCAAATGTGCCAAAAACAAGCAAAGAAAACTTAATTCATGACAAGTATGCCTTATTTTTAATGATCTGCTTTGTCTTACAATTAAGGTCCAAGAGCTTGGTTAAACTATATTATTTGCCTAAGTATAAAAGAAAACTTGAAATGCATTGCAATATTGATGTTCTTTAAAATGAGAGACACTGTCAAGTAATTTAATCCAGAGATCAGCCACCAGATCTGAAATGCCCATGTATATGTGTGTGTTTGGTGTTTTTTCTTTTTCTTTTAAATCACCAAATCTTTTTTAAAGCTACTTTTTATTTGTGCCTCCTATTTATCATGCTGATGTTAGAAGCAGCAGTCATCCAGCCACAGAGGGAGCTAAAGTTAACTAACCAGAACTGTAGAAATCATTATACATGCCTTTGACAACAAAGGAAGTTCATAAGAAAAGCCATGTTGGCTTTTCCTCCACTAGATACAGATTGGAGATAGATGAATATTTGCCAAATGGGGGGGGGGGGGAAAGACAATGCGAGTCAGGAAAGACAAACTTTTCCAGCTTCTCAAAAGCCATGGAGAGTAGAAACCAAAACCAAAAGAAATTAAAAACCTTGAAAGGCTCACTTTCTAGTTTTCCCATGCAGGGGTTGTAATTTGACTCAAAAGTGCAAAATATAGCAAAGTGTATTTTTTAAGGTCTTTGCATCTAGAGATGGATAACTATTTTGATTTGATTTTTCAGGTAAAGGAGAAAGCTGCTAGTATTTTTAACCCCTCACTAAAGAAGACAGATAATTTCATTTGGGAGCAAATACTTATTGCCTTGAAAAATAGCACTGTAATAGCCTATGATAATTAGTTGTAGAGTAACCTTTATCCCTTTTAAACTATGCAAATTATTAAATAAGTGTAAATTAGGATTCAATTAAAGATAGTTGATTATATTGCAATCAGATGGCATTCACAAACTTAACTGGAGCATATACAAATAAAATCTATTAGTCTAAGAGTTTTTGTATGCTAACAGAAAAATATAATTTAGCTACCTATTCTAAAAATGGTGAATATTATTAATATTGTATAATAGGACTGGGAAGACTGCCTCCTTTTTTGAAGAGAGAGATTAAGGATTTTTATAATTGTTTTTCATCAAATTTTAATATTTTTGTCAAATTTTTAGGTATTTAATTTGTAAAAGTTTGCTTTGTACTGGCATACAGAAAATAGGGTATTGATTTTAAACTTTTTGAAGCCAAGTGATCAAGTACATTTGTAATAAAAGTCAATGGATCTATATCAGTTGTACTCACTGTTTTCATTTCTTATTAATATAGGAGTAGTGTATTTTTTTTCTGCAGGAACATGGAACTAAATTGGGGTGGAAGGGAGGGGAAAGATAAGTCTGTTGATAACAAGGATCTGGGTGGGTACCATGGCCCAAGCACTTTATAGCACCTTTAAGTCTGTTAAGATTTGGTGTATGCACATGTCCATGATGCATATGTCAATTTTTTTCTTCCTTTTTTCTTATGGAACTTGATATTTGTAGAGGTCATCTCATTTATTTTGGTTTCTGTGCTTTGCATTTGGCACTTGAAACTTTTTAAACATTTTCTTTTATGACATTTTGGGTTATCTGCCATCCATGGTGACCCCACCATAGACATGATTATTTTTCCACATATGGTTCACCCTCTCAAGTATTCCAACTCATTTTTGCATATCACACACACAAACACACACATTTCTAGATGGTTTCATTATGGGGATTTCTGAAATTATAGCTCTGGTGGCTTTCATAGCTCCACAGTTCATTTTATCTCACATGTGAACATATTTTAAGATTCTTCCCCATAAAGAATGAGATACCAAATCTAATGACTTTTTCCTTCTTTTTTAAGAGTCTTTTCAGTATCAAAATGAGAGACTGCTCCCTAGTAAAAGGTTACTAAAACAAGGGAATCTTTAGCAACTTACATTTGGAACAATTGGTGATAACTCTGAATATACCATTTATAGTTTATTGTCCCTAAAGTTGAGCATCCTTAGTAACTGGAGATATCCCTCCAATGAGAATGGAATGAATAGGAAACACTTTACTAGAATTTTGCTGAAACTATTTGTGTAAAGTTATCTGTTAAAGTTTACCCATTTTCCAATTATACTTTAGGGTTTTTTCCATTACAAGCCAACTGAATTTAGGCCATTCATAGAAATACATGATAAAAACTAAAATGATCACTGCTATTACCTTTTTCACCCAGCACCATGAATTACCATAGAGAATTTGCAACATTTTAAAGATAGACTTAATACTTGAGTTATTTGATCCTAAAACAAAACTTGAATTTAAGGCCTAGGCCATTTGACAGATTCTTTTTGAACAAAAATTTCATTATGGACTAAGTAAAGATAAATCCAAACTAGCAGGTAGAGTTTCAGAATGCAAGAACCACCAGGTGAAAGGGAGAGATGTGCTAAGTTTCAAGCCAGTAATTTGTCATCTTTTAGCTGCTAAACTGACTACTAAGTTTTGCTGGCACTTTATATCTTTGGAAAAGCTGAATATGGCAAAGATCACTTGTTAAAAACATTTTCTTAAAAAGAATTTCATAGCTATTCATTTTTATTTTTTCCCCATATTATGTTTGGTAATTTTTTTTTTCCCTGATGTGCTTTGCTTTTGTGGAAAATTGTCTTGTTTGATAGGTAGAAACATGGTGGTGATCCTCTGAATAAAATATACTTCTAGACTAGAAATATTTTACTCACTTTGGAACTTTAAGATTTTTGTGTTTTCATGATGTTTGTTTTTTTGATGATTATCAGTAATTTGCTCAATAATTAAATATTGGTAACATTTCATGAAAAAAATAGTTTAGTTTATTGATTTAGGGTCTACTGTAATGATTCAAGAGGTCTCCAAGTTCTAGAACCAAGCCCTTGTCTGCTAGAATTTTGAAAAATATGGAAATAACTCTACCATGTGTTTTGGTCTAAACTGCATGGACATACAAAAGGATCCTAGGAGGACTTAAGATGTCCTATTGTGAAATGACCATTAAATTTATGGGACAGGTGACTTACGTATTTATCTTGACTAGTTCAGTGATGGCCATCAAGTAATGAATTGTTAGATGCATGGTGAGATTGGGTAAAACTCCCATTCAGCTGGAGTAAATTGGCAGGTAGTTGGTGGTATTTGACCTACCTACCAACCTACCTACCATGTACATATGCATTTTCTTTCTCCCATCTTCTTTTTTCCTTGTTTTTCCTTTTTCTCATTCTTGTTCTTGTCGAAAGCCTGCCAGTAGCAATCGAGCTTACCCCCTTGAGAGGGAAGTAAAGAAATTGCTGACTCCTGCCTTAAACATAGCTAACTGATGATCCAGAAAGATTTGTGTATTATGAGGTAATGAGGCAGTTTTGTTTTTTTTTTCCTGACTGCTGTTTTTCCCATAGTCATAAGTTGGCAGTTTGATGGGCATGGACATGAAGAAATTGTGAATTGAAGAGAGTAAGAAGTATGTGTATTTGGGGGAAGTTACTGGAGGCTGAGACATACAGGTAATAGAAATTTGAGCACAGAATGGTGGGAGAGCTGTTTAATGAATGGGAGTATGAGAGGTAAATAAAGTAATAACGATAGCAGGTATAGTGGGAGAAATTGTTATTGCAGGTAGGAGAAGTTACTAAGATGGAGTCTTAAATGAGTGATTTTTGCTGAAGACGATGAAGTTGATATTCAATAAGGAAGTTTTATTAAAGCTAGAGAAAATGGGTCTGTCCATTGTTGATTATGAGAAAGCTGTAGGTCTGTAACTTGATGTTGTGATGATGTATATTACAAATCTTTTTTTCAGGTATAGTGTGTTTTCTCTATTAGGACAAATTAAGTAGCACAATGGTGGGATGGCAACTTTGCTGGTCAAGCCAAGTTAGTGCTGGGGACTTACTATTTTGGAGGAAAGAGGGTTAGCAAATTTCAAACTTTTTCAGAGTTGTCATTTTTAAGCTGCCAAATAGTTACACACTATATGCTCTGAGTTCATGTAACAATGTAGTTTATTTACTTTTCAAATTAGTCCTCAGTCAAATCATTTTATGGTTCACAAATATCCATGTAGGTATGATTTTACAGAACGTTGAGCCTTCAGTCCACATAAATTTTTAAGTTAGAGGATAAAAACTGGGTATAAACAATAACTTGCAACTTCATATTTTAAAATTTCTTCTACATTTGCAATCCTAACAATTATTTAATCTTGTGGACTTTATGAGGTCTTCAGTAATACTGTTTTCCTGGGACTAAATAACATACCCCTGCCAACAAGTTTGTGTTGATTTTCCCACCTTCTCTGTTACTTTAGAGTTGTAGGATTCCTGAGACTTCAGTGAAGGCAGATGTGTCTATATCATTTTGTACACATTTGAAGTTCTTATGTCCTTTGTAGGGTGAACTGATAGTGTTTAGACTTTTGTTCCCATTATCCTAGGATCATTTTAAATTACTTAATGTAAAGAACTGTAATGCTCATTTTTAAAATTTCAAGTATATTTGTATTAACTTTTCTAGTTTGGTTTGACCTAGTCACAATGCTATTGACTTGTTATTTTCAAGTTCAATTTTACCCAAATTTGTATACGTAGTGATAAAATCTCTTTAACATAGCCAAAAAAGTTCTGATTTTGTGTTTGAATGGTAACTTTTTTTATTGTTACAAATGTCAAGTTCATTAACTGTAGCAGATTTATCTTTGTTAAAGCTTATTTTTGTAGAGTTGGCACTTCATATGATCTCCACATTTTATTGTGTGTCAGATTTTAGTTATAGTACAGATTCGTACTATAACTTCTTTAAGTCAGTGCAGAGCCTTCTTAAATAGCCCCTCCCTTAGGAATCACTTAAAAAAGAAGTGAATTCCCAAGCTGTGTCAAGAACCAGTGATTTAAATGACTGTGAGACAAATGTTTGAAAGACTTCCTTTAGTCTAGTCAATGGAGATGAATGATAGCCCATTTCCATGCTGCATACAGTTGTTAGGGTTTATAAAGTTGTCAGTGTGTAAAAGTGCAAAAGCAGGAAAGACTGTAAAGTTGCCTATAAAATTTCTAATTTTCTTTTTCTGCACTACTTATCTTTGCACTTGATTTTTTTAAATTTAGGACTAGTCACTTTCATTTTTGTTTCTAGTCTTTTCTAATTTCTTACAGAATTGTTTTCAATATCCCACCCAAAGCAAAACTTATATGCAATTAAATATGCTTTATAAGTCCAAGAGAATATTTCTTAGTGTTAGCTATATAGAATAAAAATTTTGTTTTGATAAAATTTTTAATATGGGCCTTTATTTGCCAGGAAAATCCTTTGTAAACGTGAGCTTTATTAAACTATTTGAATAGACAAAGTGAAGCTTAGGATAGGGAATGTGTGTGTGTGTGTGTGTGTGTGTGTTTTATGTATGTATATGAAATGATTATCTTTGCAACTTCCAGCTTGAGATGGCCTGGTTTTGGAGTGTTGATTGTTTTTCACTGAAGTCATTGAGATTTGAGACTTGCTGGGTATTGGCTTAAAAAGCCAGAAGTGAAAACAGTGTCAAGTGGCAGCTCCCTCTTTCATGTAGTTTTCTGTAATGTAGAGTTTCTTCATGGTTTATATGCTATACCTAGTATTAAAATAATTATATTAAATGAATATTCCTTTTTGGAATTCAAGGTTGACTCACTTTTTGAGGGTGAGAGGGTGGCAAGGAGTAAGGGACTTTATTTTAACTAGAGGCATTCTTATACCCTCAAAAATGTGCTCTAGAAAGAATAGAACAAAAAGTGTATCTGTGAACATTTTTGTTTGTTTGTTTTAGTGAGATTGTACGGCCATGTTCAGAATTGCAAAAGAAAAAAGTTTGACAGTTTTGTCAATAGAGCAGAAATGTGTTTTGGCTAAAATCATTTTTTATTTTTTTATTTCATTTTATATCTCCTTACTATAGCATTTTAGACACTTCATACTTAAAACCAAGAAGTAAGAGGCCTCTTTTCAGATCTGTTTTATTTTTGGAATGCTTGAGTGCGTGTCTGGATGGGGGTGCAGGGAGTGGTGTTTTAATTCTTGACATGCTCTACTCAGCATGTTTTGCTAGTCATTCCGGATCTTATGTTTGCAAATTTGTTGAAAATTCAGATGTATTTGAAATGCATCACTGTGAATGCTTGTGGCTGGACTTTGTTGTGGAACCTGTGGCTTTGTTTTTAATTTGGCTAGAAAGTTAAATTTCCTTGGTTCAGGTTTCAGGTTTATCTAGTGGAATTGTGTTGGTAGTTGTTTAAATGTGGACCAATTTTGGGAATGAAAGCTGACAAATGTGTATTTGACTCTAGATAATCCTTTACTCAAATTGTAAATTAGAGGCTCACATCATTACTGTTGTCTTAAGTTTATGCTGTCAATTCTTTAAATGTAGATGATGATCAACATTGTATCGATGAATTTCCTTTCGGAAGAGTCTAAAACTCAGTCTCCAAACCTTTTTTTGAAGACTAAATTTACCATATATGAAAAATGAAAAAAATTAGAAAGTGGCTTTGATTATTTTCAGAGGAGTTCAATCAGTTTAATTTTTTTTCTTAGTTTGAAGCACTTATTTCCCAAATGTGAATAAAGGGAAAAGGTCAATAATTTGGCCCTTTTTATTGAGGCCATTTTTAGTTTCTGCCCCCCCAATCCTGGTATGAAATAAATTACGGGTATCCCTCTGAATCCCTGTAACCCCTTTTTGGGGTCACAGATACCTTTGATAATCTGATGAACATGGTGGACCCACTCCCCAGGGGAAACAAAAACTGCTCAAACACAGATAATTTTGCTTATAACCTCAGGGGCATAACTTATCTTCTGAAACCCAAGTTTAGAATCTCTGCTCTATGTAAACTCTATGGGAAAAAAATTAATGTGATTAATTGATAAAACTAGAAATTATTGGCTTAAAACAGTTGTGATAGGAATTATTGTTAATGGTGGCCCCTACTAGCAAATTGTGACTGTAACCAGCTTTGTTAGACATTAAACCATCCAGATGGAAGACAAAAGAAGCAAAGTTCTGAGAGCTATTTCTAAGGAGTCAGGGCACCCTCTCTAGACATGGAATCCATGTCTAGTTTCAAGGTTCAAGGCAGGGGTCAGGGTGCCTGACAGCTTCTAGCAGGGTAGAGTTTGATAAACCACAATGCTCAGGATGACTAGGGGTTAGCCATTATCTTAACCCCTTCCTCACCAAAAGATTTTAGTTTTGTCTATTGGGAAACAAGACGTCAATAGGGAAAAAAAGATTTGCCTTATACCTTTGCTGGAACACATCAGTTGGTGACATGGGACACCAGTATTTTTGAGAAGGTGCATAAAACCAAAGTAAATTATTCTCTATGTAGAATATTATTTACTAGTAACATTTGTTTGGATGTATTAGCTTTGACAATTTTTACCAGTAAATACTGATTTTGTTTAAGACTGGGAATCCAGTTTATAAATAGGATAGTTGATATATCTGTCCTTTACCCCATGTAAAGACTAGTTTAAAGATTTATTCATACTTTTTACTTTCTTCTTTTAATGCCATGGAGTGGGGTGGGTTGGGGGGGATGTCTGAGTCAACTACTGACAGAATGTCTTCTCCAAACTTGAGAATTGAGAAGCAGCACTTTAAGTCTAACTCTACATCATTTTAGTGCATGTATTAGTTTTAATAATGATTTTTGGTGCATGCCTTTGGGCTTATTCAAAAGTGTACAATAGGAAAGTATATTTCCTTTCTTAGAAAGGAGATGTTTTTCTACTTTGCAACATGTGATTACAAAATCTTCCTCTGTGGGAAGATTAACCATGTATTGAACTACTGAAAAGTATATATTTTTAGATATACAGAAGGAATCTACATGGAGCAGCATTCAGACCTATATAGAAGTCATAGCATTCTGTATAGGACCAAAAAGGAATAACATTAAACACTTAAACAGACTTTGTTGGGTAGAAATACCTTTAGATCTTGCTTTGACTTCCAAAAGGAAAATGCCACAGAAGTTTGCTGAAAACTTTTGTTGCTTGAATTTTCTCTGTCAGTGTATTTAGCCCAAGTACAACAGTTTTGGGCTAACACGTAAGAATCAAAAACAAAACAAAAACAAAGCTAACTAAATAGATTAGTCTGGTTTGTCAGTCCAGCTTGACTGATATAAGTAAACTAATCACTTATAACGTGAAAAACTGTCCAACTCCTCTAAGGTTTTGACAAAATAACCTTGGCTGATGTGGGAAGGTTCCCACTTTGATTTCTGACCTGACAGTGAAGATTCATGCTTGACATGATTTCAAACCTGACAGTGTCTGTTTAAGGAGCTATGGTACAGTTTGCTAATTCAATCCCAGATACCTGTTGATTACCCGTGAGATCTAGAGTCCAAAGTAGCCAGCAGCCGTATCCCTGAGTGCTCTGTGCCCATCAGATCTCTTAAAAGTAAGCAGGGTTGGGACAGGTCACAGCTCAGAAGAGTGACCTCAAGTGCTGTGGACAGCCCCAGAGTCAAGAATTGTATCAACTTTCTTGGGAGTCATCACTGAACTAACGTCCCACACGGTATTACTTACTATAGATGCTCTCTTTTGGAAGAGGCCCAGAGGATACATCCTAATCGCTTGCGGTACTCAGAGAGGGGGTGCTAACTCTGATGCCCTGGCCAAATTCCAGTTTAGGGATGTGGGTCGTCTTCTTGCCATTCTAATTGGAAATGTGCATCGCTTCCCATTTTCCCTGTTGATCTCAGTGCAAACTTGCACTAGTCTGTTTCTTTGCCCTGGTCCCAAGTCTCTAAGATGCTGGTGTGTTTATATGGGCCAAGTTCATGCCTTCTCCTAATGCACAAGAGTTGAGGAATGAGTGACCCTGCTGTCCTTGGAGGATACACAGGAGTGACCCTGTGTTTGGAGGATAAACTTGTGATGCTTTGGGGATTGGCCCTCCTTTAGCATAATTTGGGAAATGTGCACTGGCCGGAGGCTTCCAGCCATGAGGTATGAGCTGAAACCTACTTTCCCTCTTTTCTTATAGCATGTTGAGAAAATCTGTTGGGTTTTCAGCAGCCAGGGAAGGCCGGAGTTCTGCAGCTTTAATCTGGGTAACTTGAGGCTGGTTTGAGCAGGACTTTGGTTAATTAACTGGGTTCTCAGATGCCACAGACTCCGTGAAAAGTCACCATTATTTTCAATGGTTGTGATAGAATTTCCCTCACTAGTCATTATTTTAAGATTATATTGCAGAGTTGTTTTATTTGAGCTTTTTTTGTGTATACACAATCCCAAACTGGAAGAAATTTTAAAAAAAGGAATCCTGCTGTGAAAGGTATATATTACTCTAGATTTTTCTTACTGTAAATATTGTAAGATTGTAATACTGTCGATATTTTATTAACCAACAAATGTTAATCTATGTGAATTCAGACTTATTTTAAATGTGCTTCTTATTTACTGTGTGTGGTCCCTGTTGCTGACAGTATTAAGTTATATTCTGATGTAAGATTAACTTTATTAAAGAATGTAAACATTAATGTTTCCTTATGGGAAAACAAATAAAGTATAAAGAAGACAATTCTTTTGATTAAAATATACTGTGTATTTACACTTGCTAGACCCAGCACCACTTATAAATTTAGTACACTGTTCAGAATTTTAGTTACCACAGCTGGCATGGTTGTGCTCTCTTTGAAAGTCTAAGAGTAGGTGTTGTTGGAACATAACAGTTTGTATTTGTCTGCTGTGAATCAATCTTGAAATTTCTAATCAAGTTTGTAAAATTTTTATAGTAAAACATTTTAATGACAATTTAAAAATTTATCTTCTCTAAAGAATGGTCAAAACTATATCCTTTCAGAAATATAATTGTTCTTTAATATCTTTCCAAAATGACTTTGGTTAAATGGACCAGATGTATATTAGTTGAAATTTAGGACAAAGTTGTGATATTCTTTGAGTTTACAAGTTAATCCTTATTGGAAATGTGCCAATTATACAGTAGAATATCATTAATTTGCACTGTTTGGGGACCCCATTAAGAATGCTGAATTTTGCCAACTAAGAAGTAAGCAAATGCAATTTAAAAAGTAAATCTGAGCATTCTGTATTAAATATGTGCAGTTATTATCACATGAAGAAGCGCAGTGTGTCGGGCTGTAATATAACCATACTTGCTGTCATGTTCTCCCATCTCAGTGCTGGGAACTCACCATGTGGAAACCAAGCAAATGTGTTGTGCATCAGCCGGCTTGAGTTTGTTCAATATCAAAGCTGAAACTAGCGAGGTCTGCTGTACTGCTTATTGAAGTATTGTGATTCTTTTAGGCATTGATTCTTATAAAATATATACTGTAACAGTATACTTTGTACAGATTTAAATTTTATTTGAAAAAAATGAAATAAAGTAGGCAAAAAATAAAGATGTTTATTTTTCATGTGACTATATAAACAGATCAGTCTTTTTGTTTCAGTGCCTTTGGGGTGGGGGTCTGGCTGCTCTTGGATTTTTTTTTTTAACTAGTGGAAGCCACTATTAGGACTCAGCAGCAGGTATACTTGGCTGGTCATTAATTGGCTGCAACCCTGAAGTGTGCCCTCTCTCACACTGGAAAACTCTCTTTCTGTTTCATTTGAAAACAACTTGGTTCTTTTTAAAGGTTTTATGTGAATGGCCTCCCTATCTTGTTGATTGAGTCAATTTTTAAATTCTCCAGTTGTCTGACGGTTAACCTAGCCATCAGAGAAAGAAAACTTTTCTCGTAGACCATGCTCCTTTCCCATGGAAGGTTTTCTGTTGTTTAAAGTTGGAGTTGGCTTGGGAAAGTGGGAGGGTTACAAAAGAGTATATAACAAAAGATGAAGAGAATCCCCAGAAAATCGAGGTTGTGCTTAAAAATAAGATCCTTTCAAAATTGCTTTTCTAGTGAGTGGAGTGGTAGACAATAAATTAAGTTACTGATAAAATGTGGCATGGGAGTGAGCAAAGTAGTTTTAACAGGACTTTCTCATAGAAGATTAGATTTATCTGTCCAAAAAGAACCACCCCAGTTTTGACTAAAACTGGTGATAGCCTCAGACTCCCTCAATCTTTAGAAGTGGAGTTGAAAGTGACTTTCTACTCATTTTATCTTTTCTGACGCTTTCTCTAGCAGGCTGGATCTGAGGAAGGTTTGGAACACTATAGAATTTTTTTTTCAGTGTTACTTACATGTGTATGAAAGAACTTAACATTATAAAACTGGTGCATGGACATAAAACTTTCTCAAGTTCACAGTATCACAGTTCCAGGCTTCCTTGAATGAATCCCAAGACAATTTTGTTTTGATTTGTTCTCTTGCTAAAATAACCTTCCTTTGTAGAGCACAGCAGAGTTAGACTGGACTAGCTTCCACATCTGACAACCAACTCCAAAAGAAATAATGCTGTGTAAAAAGTTAGAGCTGAGGATGCCAGTACTTGAGAGGGGTGAGGGTTGAGGAGGAGGGGAGTGGAGGGAGGAGAGTGAGATGTTAACAAACTTTAGTTTCCCCTAAGTCCTCCAGTACCTATCATTTGGGGGGCACGCAGGTCAGGTAGGTACTTCCTGAAGAGGAGACCAGATTCTCCACTCTCCTCAAGGTGGAACAAGACAAACACTGGGGACCCAGCAGGAGAGGACTGTGATTAAATATGCCCTGTGGCCATTTTGGAGAGGAAGGGGTGAGGTTCTTCAATCAGACTACAGGGTAAATACACCAGACTTGGGGTAGATCTGAACTATAGGGCAAAGCTTTTAGGGCCATGGGAGCCCCTTAAGAAAGAGGCCAAGCATGTTCAACAGAACTATTTGTCATTTTAACTTGGCTCTTTCTTTTCTAAAGTGATGTAATTGGCAAGTTCTTTCCATCCCCACCTTCAGTGGATGTTAACTTTTTATGTGACATGTCATTCACTTTGGCTCCTTTTGCATGGCTTTTTAGAAATCTCTTTGTTCTTTCTTCCAGTAACAACTTCTTTCCAAGCAGACAAAACTTTTTTGACTTGGGGTACCAGGTTTTGAAAGAGGTTCTGCTCGTTCCAGATCAGGGGAGAGAAGAATCTTTTTCTACGTTTGACTGCAGCTAACCTCAGGGCCAGCACTGCTTTCACTTCAGTACCATCCCCCCACACTTCTGGAACCTGAAGAGGAGCTGCTTCCCTCCCCCCAAAATGGGAGTTCTACCGTAACTTTGCAAATCTCCAGCATGTTCCCAGTAATATTCCAATTTTCCCACCAATGTTGATTTTCATTCATTTTGATTTATTCAGCTCAGGTCATTTGGCACTTAGGTTGGCAGTGAGAATGTCACGAAACAGAAAGAGAAGGCTATTGCACCCTACAGCCAACTGGGTGGACCAGTTAACCTCACCAGCCTAGGGATCCTGACACCTGAGTGCCCAGCTGTCACAGCAGACCCTCCCCAGGGAGGAGGGTTTCCCTTGAGGAGATAGGCAGCACCTCCAGCCTAGCTCCACTTTCTGTCTCGGGGCATAACACTAGGGGTGAGTTTATACTGTCATCAGCTTACATTTTTTCCCAAGTTCATCACTTTTGTTCCCCACCCCTAGTTTTATTGAGCTATATTTGACGTATATCACTGTGTAAGGTATAAATAGTTGACACATATTGTTAAAGATCACTTCATCATTTCTGTTAGCATCCATGATCTCACATGGATATAATAAAAAGAAAAGATTTTCCTTGTCATGAGAACTCCTAGGATCTACTCTCTTAGCGACTTTTGCACATGTCCTACAGCAGCGTCCTAGTCAGCATGTCATATGGCACATCCCCAGGACTTATGTTCCTGGAAGCTTGTGCCTTCTATCTGCCTCTGATTCCCCACCCCTACTCACTCCCTTGATAACCGCAGATCTGATTTCTTTTACTATGAGTTCTTTTACTATTCCGTTTTTAACAGATTATACAGTATTTATCTTTCTCTGGAATTTTTTTTTTAACTGACATTGAGTACTTAAAATATGCAAGTCCCCAAGCTGAGCTTTTTATCTATATTATTTCTTTTAATTCTTAACAACGCTATGAGATGGGCACTAGTATTACCTCCACTTGAGAGAATTATGACTAGAGATTAAATAACCTACCCAGGGTCACAGAGTATTCAAGCAGGCTGACACCGGCACACACCCTTGGCCTCAATCCCTTGAGTGTGTATATATATTCTTAAAACATTTATTTATACATATAAGAATTGGGGTACAGATCAGAGGTGTGGGGGTGAGAGGATTCACCAGAGACAGAGTGAGGAGCAGAACAGCCAGATCTACTGAAATACACTGCTGAGGGGAGCAGCAGGCGAGACAGGAGAGGTCTTTGTGTCATGTGGGTCAGCTCCTGGCCAGGGATCAAACTCATGCTGCAGTGGCTGCTGTTAGCTTCATAGTGCTGTGCTGAACCCCTGAGCCAGCAGGGAGCCTCCCTCTAGTGTATATTACCTTCTCCAAATTCTGCCTCCTCTTCTGTTAACTAGTGAGTTCTTCCTGAGCTTAATGTTGCCTTACCTCAGAAGGTGTTCAGCTGTTGGGTGGCACAGCTAGTGTTCCTGTAGCAAAGGAGGATTTCTGTGCATAACTCAAAAGTCATACTTCCTGTTTCTGTTCCTCCAGTTCTGGACGTTGATTCATGAATGAATCCACATTTCATTTCCTCTCCCCTTTCATGGGGGAATGACTTACTCACAGCAGATCTGAGGCAAGCTGGCAAATGGCCCTTCCAGGCTTCTCTTCTCCACTGCTTTTGCTTAAAGTCAGCACAGCTCTGAGTACGGTTCCTGCCTCTCTCCTGCTCTAACCACAGTGACCCGATCAAAGGGTCTGTGAGTGAAGCTGTTGGATTATCTCATGGAGTTGGTTATTCCTTTCCTTTCCCCTGAATATTCCCCTAGCGGGCACCCTATCTTCTTAGACCAGACCTCTGTAGGCACCCATTGCATTGGGAGGCAGTCTCGAAAGGAGAACCTGGCTCAGAGAGAACCTGGCTCAGATTCCCCAGACCTTGGCCTTCAGGAACAACCAGCCCAGTGGTTGATCAGCCAGGGCTGGCCCTTTAGCCGTCAGCTCAGACTTTTGCTTGGACTTTCTGAGGCTCTTTACTGCATCCTCTAAAATGATATTTCGCAGATACTTCCTGATCTCCAGGGGGAGGCCAGAGTGTCACTCTCCAGGGGCTTCTTCCAAAAATAAAATCTCAAATTCTTTGGGATTTAGGGGTGGTTTAGAGAACTGTGGCATCTGTTAGAACTCTTGTCTAAAATGGGAAGTTCGTCATTTGAACTTGACCCCCTTCTGGTACGTGTATTCTCTAACAGTGACTCTCAAGGTGTGGTCCTTGGCTCAAGAGCATCACCACCCCCTTGGAAGTTGACAGAAATCACCACAGATGGGCAACATCAGATCCTGCTGGGGCCCAGCAATCCCCAGTGAGATTCTGCTGCACAGCAGAGTGTGAGGAGCACTGCTCCCTGAAGCATTGGTTCTTTGTCTCTTTTGGAGCCCTACATTTGCGAATCTGATGGAAGCATGTGGCCCCTCCGGAGTCCATGTACAGAACCTGTGCTCCGGAGTATTGCTCTCTCCTTCCTGGCTTCTTTCTCAGGCCACTTTCACCCTGTTGCTTCCTCGGTGTTGGTCGTTGCTGTCTGGGTAGCCCCTCATCAGAAAGTTCAGGGAACAGTCCTCGCTGCTCCCTGTGCTGTAACTGGAGTCCCTGGCCTCCAGATAGAAGCCAAGCGCTCGGGCATGGGGCAGCAGGCCAGAGCCTGGGACCCAATAAAGCGAATCCTCCTCCTGGGCTGGGCCCCAGCTCTGTGTCAGCACAGACTTCCATGGTGGCACTGGCCGGGGCAGGTTCACAGAGCTTGTCCATGGCGAGTCCTGAGTAATGCCTCTTGTTCTGGGGAATTGTTTGCAGCAGCCCCAGTGGTGCACAAGGATCCCAGTTTGGATGACAAATTATATATTCACCCTTTTTCTCACCTAACAGCCTCCTCACTGGTCTTACTACCGCTCTTGCTTCCCCACCCCCACCCGGCTATCCATTCTCCACACAGCAGCCTCAGTGATTTTTTAGAAAAACGCTAATTGAATGATGTCACTCTCCTGTTTCCTATCACACTTAGAATAAAAGTCCAACTCTTTACCGTGGTTACAAGGCCCTTATGATTTGGCCCCTGCCAAAAGCTCCAGTTTTCTCGCCTTCCTTTTTACCTCCTTCATTTCCCCTCTGCCATGCAGGTCATCTTTGGGCTTCTTCAGTGCACAGAGCCCACTGCCCCCCACAGGGCTTTGCCCTGCTCTTCTCTCTCCCTGCCGGGAGCTCACTTCCCCCACACCCTGACCCACTGGTCCTTTTGTGCCAACAGGCCTCAGCTTTCATGTCCTGGCTTCAAGGAGGCCTCCTCCCAC